ATCTCTGTTACTGAGAGCATCACTGGGAAAGATGGTCAGACCAGTTGGTTTTCTGACAACTTGAATCGGGCACATCTGGATTACTTTTATTGGGTTCTTGCTGTACTTAGTACTATCGCATTCACAGCGTACTTGTATTTTTCAAGATCTTATATATACAATAAGCCAAGTTCTCTCTAAGATGTATGGGGTAAGATACCCTTAGCATGGAGAAGTCGATGCTGTAACAGTGTAATGGTCTTGCCTGTTCTATAGCGTAGTTATATTCTTGTCAAGGAACTCCTTGTGCTGGTAGAAGAAATAGGTATGAATGAACTGCAGGCTGATAGAATTATGCAGTTGTTTGTTGATCATATAAGTGTAAAACTAAGTGTGTACAGATGTTTTATATCATGTGATTGTAATTTCAGATTACTGTCATCTTTAAATAATTTGGCGCTTGAAACATCATTTCAACAAGAGTAATGTTGATTGAATTAGTTATACACCCAAGTGCACCTTAAACCCAACTTTGAAACTACTTTTTCTAGTTTAATTCGTTACCAAGACATTACCCTAAAACATGTCAAATTAATTGCAAGGCCAACACTAACAGAGAAACCCATCTGTTATTCAAAGCTAAGTGCCCTCATGCTACCCATAAGCTTAAGTGGTTTCTTAGCTTTTCCTTGCAAGAATTCCTCGTGCACCTTGAAACTGTAGCATTCGCAATCGACTTCCTCAACTGTGTTTGATAGAAAGACAGGCGCAACACCTCTGACCAATAGAGTGTTTGGTGCACATATATCCCCTAAATGGTATGGTTTCTAGAGTGAGTCAAATCTGTACAGCCGTGGAGCAACATCCACGTCTGAATCTGATCTAATTGCTCAACAAGACTCTATGGTCGCACAAGAACCACATACATGATTCTCTCAGTGGTATCAGTCATCCAAACAAGTTTTTTTTTTTCATTGTACTTAAAAGTGTGAGTGAAGACAGAAAAGGCTTGTTTTTGTTTATTTTCTTTTTCTTCAATTCTTTTGGAACTATGGTTTTAGGAGAGAACAGTGTATGACGATTTTCACCAGCCGAGTTCTCCTATGACACAAGGGCTCTTGGGTGGGGTGAGCCATTCCATCAAATCCTTTGAGAAGGAACCCATTCTCGTGGTTGATGGTCGGCATGGCAAGCCACAGAAATACCATTCGATTCGTTGGAACTCTAAAAAAAAAACAAGAAAGGTTCCTTCATTGGGGTAACAATGGGGCAACTTATGGGAAGTTACAATCCCTACCATAGAATAATGTACCTACACGTCTTCATCGAGAACCAAAGATGAAGGTGCAAAGGCTGACTGCAGAGAAACAAAGGTGGCTATGGAACGAAGATTGAGATCCAGACAAAGAGGGGAAGTTTTATTAATCTCAATATGACCTTCCTAATCAGAAGGTTATTCTTTTTAGCATCAAACTTCACATTCTTTTCTTCTACTTTCTTTTAATATGGAATAACAGAACAGTTTCAACAATGCCACCATCATCTTATGTTGCAAGTTCAAAAAAGGATTTAAGGTTGTAAGGTGCAATGATGTCTGGAGTTCCATTCCACAGTACTTCAGCATATTGTTTGTAGGCCAGTTCAGACGGATGAAAAGAGTCGAAAAACAAGTTATCTTTCACGTTTTTACATAACTTGTACTTTTTGACTTGTCTCTTGCCTCCACAACTATAAATCCCTCGTAATGGACCAGCCCCACAACAAGCCGTCTTTGATGTCTTAAAACCTAAACAAAGCAAATTGTAAGTAAATTAAGACTATAAACAGACTATTCCATATTACTATAAAGAAACAACCTATATTACTACCCATTGCCATATCAGCTATGTTAACATAAATCAAGAATGCTCGAACATAAAGAGACTAGAAGTTGATTTTGATGAGATACAACATACCATATTTTGTTGGATTATCAATGCTATCTGAAGATACTTTGAACAAGTCGAATAATGTGTATTTAAATCCAGGCAATTGCTTCTCTAGTTGTTTGAGCATTCCTGGAAGAGCCCAATTGTGCATTTTCACCAAGCTTGTGATCTTCTCTATGGAATTGCCATTAAGAGCAATAGTATTAGGGAGACGACCTATTGGAACCATATTAAGCATGACAAATTTTCTCCCTCCTTCCTTGTAAATTCCCTGTTGCATTAGTTTAATGAAGCACGAAGAATTAGTATAGCTACTCTCTACATTAAACTCAACATAGAACATGAAATAAAAAACATTCAAATTCAACAAACAAAAAAAAATTGTCTCCCCTGGTGGACACCCCAAGCTGATGGTGTCTGGATGATCATTTTGTAAGTTTGGGTGCTCAACTGACACAATGAAGACAAGTTGAGATGTCTACATGTGAATACTCCTTCCAAAATGGACGAAAAAAATGACAACACTCCTAAGCTTGTCAGATATTATACGAGTCTAAAATAAACACTGCTCAATTTGTATTAAACTCAAAATGCGCGCATGAATCTCCAAACATCATTTATTGAAGCAAATACTCAAAAGTCTTAAATAGATAAAAGTGGTAAAACTAAATCCAAAGAAATTTAAAAAGTTTAGGTTGAATCAATAAGTTCATTACCTTCAGAACGGATGTCAAATTGCCCATAATCATCTTTAGATATTCTCTTTCAGGATACGAAGAATTTGTTGACAAAGGAGCCAAGTAATCGTTACCACCAGCACTAAAAATATATACAGCATTCGAGATGATCTGCTTGGACTCAGTTTTCCCCACCTTCTTCTTCGACAGTTTTACGACTTTTTTGAAATATCTCAACTGTGTTTGAAGATCTATAACCTGTCAAATGGAATCAATACTTCAGAGCTACATAATACAATCTTCCTATCAAACTAGTTACTCCCCGTTTCAATTTTGTTTCTCCTACTTTCCTTTTTGGTTGATTTTTAAAAAAGAATTTTCTTTCATTTTTAACAATTCTTAAGATTACAAGATCCAAAAGTATTCATTACTTTGTTAAATTCAGACAAATAGAATGAAATGGAGAGAGTATATGAAACCAATTATATCAAAGACTACCACCCTATATTGATTTAACAATGGAATTCAATTTGAATTGCATCAAACTAATTCAAACACTTACAAAACCTCGATGAGTTTCGACCAAACAACCAGCACCGCCTGATGCAAAGTTTACCCCATGAACAAAATGTTGCTTGCCAATTTCAAAATACGAAGGAATCAATGGCAAATTAGCATATTCAGCTGCAAATACAACAAAAAAAATCAAGTCTCATACCTCTGTAGCAAAATAATTCTTGAAGGCCCATCACAATCAAAGATGACTACGAAATCTATCTAGTAAGTGAATTTCCCTTCTTTGTTTCTACACATTTTTCAGATAAATTAGCAAAGGCCATAAAATTTACCGACAAAATCAGGAATGAGACGTCCATCGGAGAATCTACCGGTAGGATACTTGAAGAATGATTCTCCATATGGCCGCCAATTTGCTTGGTACTCAGTAGTGGTGTTGATGTAGTTATTATTTCCAGGATCGAACAATGAATCACCGAACACGAAAAGGCCAGCTTGAGGTTTTCCATGGCTGCTAATACACAGAATTGGGTGAACAAAACATACCACCAAAATACAGAGGTACAAGTGAAACAAGCTTGAGCTCAAAGCCATTGCAGTAGTTGAAGAAAAAACAATTATATATACTACTCCGTCTGTCTTTTTTCTCTAACTAGTTTTCCATTAATTATATTTTAAAAATTACATACATATTTAGTTTTGAAAATAAAAATAGCAAAAATTTGCAACTAACATTATTTTTGAACAATTAAAATAAATAATTGTTCATCCTATTGATTAAACTATATAAAATATGATATATATATATATATATATATATATATATATATATATATATATATATATATATATATATATATATATATATATATATATATCGGCTAGAAAAAGTAATATTAAATCTATCTGACTATTTAAGTAAAGATCCCTATATTTTGTAGTAGCTAAAATAGTTTTTATTCAATGATATCATATCAAAATAAAAGAAAATTTTCCTTTTAAAGTTTGATACTATATTTATATATGATGCAGATATTCCTAATTCTTTTGTAAAATAAAATTAGTAAGTTCAAGTATAAAGATACATATAAAGAAACATTACAAAATACAAAAAACTACAATATAATTTTTTCAATACCAATCACATGATGCCATGAAGGCATACTACAAGATATCATTTTATAACTCCTTCCAAATACACAAATAACATAGCATTTTACCACTATTCGCAAGCAATTATAATTACAGTACACTATAAGAATAAATCAATTAATGAAAATTCTAAAATCAACATTCCAAAGAAATCAACTTCCTCCTTTTCATAGCTCATGAATTTCTGCTAGCACTCCTTACGGAAATAGTAATCTTCATATATCATTCAATGAATATTGAGTGTTGCATCTAAATTGATATGACAATTATTTAATTCGAACATGTTGGAGAAGTTACGAGGAAAATATTTATTCTGATGAGAGGCTGTTAAAAGAGAGCTCTGAGAATAATATCAACAAAGCGGACTTTTCAGGTCCAGACTTGTTGCAAGAACAAATAAATAGATGCATCAAAATTTTCAAATCAGACTACGCAATATTTAGTTAAACAATAATTTTAAAATCTATTTTATATAGAAAAATTATTTAAAAATAAAAAGAAAAGACAACCAATATGGCTGAGAATTGGTCCAAAAATCAACCATCAACCACTTCACTTGATTATATTCCTAAAATCAAGAGAACAAAAAAATACTTTAATTGCAATTGTTGGTGCATCCACATCATAGCTTTTTTATTATTAATTATATAATAATGTAACATTAAAATGCCATTTTTTTTTCTTTGTGAACTTACTTGATTAGGACTGATTGAATAATTCAAAACAATACTAAATTAAACTAATTTATTTTCACATTTGCAGATATCTAACAATAAATAAGTGAATTAGCTTCTTCAACATTTGCTTCTTGTAAATCTGACTACCATTTGAGAGGGATTATTAGCTTGAAAGTAAAGAGAAAAGGTATAATTATTAATATAATGTTTTTCTAGTTTTCTTTTACATGTATTTTAATTCACTTGATTTGAAAGAAACAGGCATAATAAGAACTAGAAAAGTGATTTATATTTGTTACTTGATAATTATAGGATATATGTGTTGGATATATAGAATGATCTGATCATTTAAGATCGGTCTCTAACCCTCTTCCCTTCCCTTTTTAGTTTGTTTTTCAATTTTTTCATTCAATTTTCTCATGTTCCATTACTTAAATATTTAGAAAATATATCAAAAACGTCTATTAAAAAAAAACCACTTATTAGTTAAAAAAATATTTACTTGTTTTGTGTTTCTTAACTTTTGTTCTTATTTAAATGTGCATGTGATTAGTTGAAACATCAATCCTGTGGAAATTGAATCTGGCATAAATGGAAAAAGGAAAGGTATGCCTAACATTAGAGGAACAAAGAAGAAGAATTAGTGATCATATTGATGATTTCTTGAATGGTTTGAAGAAAATAAAGAATGAATTCATTGCTTCAAAATGGGATGACATTGAAAAGCTAAGAATGGAATTGAGATTCCTAAGAACATTTGTTCTGTTTGGGAATTCGAATTCGGATAACTTTTATCAGAGGATGTCCATGAATACAAAAAAGTTTGATGAACTTGCTTCCTCACTTTTCTATGAAGATGAAAATAAATTAATCCTAGTGAAATACAACATGGATAAACTTGCGCCTTACCTGATCAAAGAAATAGCAAGTATTCTTTTGAGATTAAAGAATGTAGCCATCATCATGACTGAGGAGAATATGCTTGAATATAGTAAGAGTATCCTCAAGCACCTCCATGATCTACCAAAGTATTGTTCTAATTTGCTTCAACCCCTCATGAGTGAATACAGCATTCTTCGGCAAGTATGCACACATCTCAGAGATTTCTATCAGTTGGAATGCCACAAAACAACAAAAACAGAATTTCTCTACGCTCGGTACCAAATGACAGTTGATAGAGTAACACAATTCTGTTTTGATCTTTGGACTGGAGTGTATAAAGAATATTTTGGTAATGAGTATTATTATGCTTACTGTAATGTCTCACAATGCTCTTCCAAGATCACTTCTCTACTCATCGACATAATCCCTCTCGAGCTGGAGGTTCTATACATTTCTACTTCTAAGCTCATCAAAGAATCAACATCAACTCAACTAAAACGGTTTGTGAAGCAAATCCTAAAAGCATCTCCAAGGATTCTTCAAAATTATCTCATTCATCTCCAACGAAGCATGGTAGCTGTCAAATATGCTCCAACTCAAAGCATTAATGTCATGATGGAGTTCCTATTGATCTTTCTCACTGATATACCAAAGCGCTTTATCCATCGTGAAAAATTGAACGATATGTTGGCACATGCTGGAATGCTTACCAGAAAAATATCTTTTCTGGTGAGCAAGCTATTGGAGGAGACCTCCGAAAATAATATCAACGAAGCAGACTTTTCAGCTCCAGACTTTTTGCAAGAAATTGAACAAATGAAGGGAGATATCAGACAGATTTTTTTAAAAGCCCCGAAGTCATCTCAACTTCGTTTTCCTATGGATGATGGTTTCCTCTTCATGAATCTTCTGCTCAGACATTTAAATGATTTGCTCATTGCCAATGTCTCTTCAGTTACTCTGATAAAGAAAGAAATTGGAATCGTGAAAGAAAGCCTTGAATTCCTAACATCATCTTTCGGGAAAGTCAGGAAAACGTTGGATGGCACTAGTGGAGTAGTTAAAGATTGTTGGTTACGTGCTTTAGATGTGGCATATGAGGCAGAACATGTGATTAATTCCATTCTTGTCAGAGATAAAGCCCTCTCGCATTTAATCTTCTCACTTCCGGATGTCACTGATAAGATCATGCTTATCGTGGCACATGTCACCAGTTTACAGCTGGAGGATAAGAATGGGGATGAACCCCTTGATGCAAAGTCTTCCGACGAGCTAATTGAGCCAACCTCATCATCTTTTGCAGAGGTAACAGTAGGTCATGAGGAAGACGAAGCTTGGATCATTGGCCAGCTCCTTGATGAACATGAATCCGAGCTTGATGTCATTTCCATTTTTGGAATGCCAGGAGTCGGTAAAACTACTCTTGCCAATAAAGTGTATAACAATACATTAGTTGCTAGCCATTTCCATGTTCGTGCTAAGTGCACTGTTTCCCAAAAGTATAAC